AAAGAGTCTGTAACTGAAGGAAGCAGGGTCCTGCTCCTTCCTCGATACCAGAGCACCCCATGGGAAATCACCTTTGGGGCCCAATCCTGTAGGAAACCAGGCTGCATTAGCAACCCTGCATGCAGGTTCCTGCTTTTCTGCAGGCACACAGTGACAAGAAGATGCTTGTTCACCGTAGGCACGTTTTACTTTGGGTTTGCCATGATTTGTCAGGACAACGGACCAAGTTCCTTAGAAATTTTTGCACAAGCACGATGGGAGAGACTCCTGCTTGCAGCTGAACATGAAAGCCAGTTGGCTTGTACCTTGCTCCAGGAGTGCTGACTGTGAAAAAGGCAATGATGGGGAATGACACAGTTACATGTAGATGTAGCTGTTGTATATTCTTTATTTTGAAATGATGTCGAAAGTATTTCAATCTTAATTTCAGAGAGTGGACCAACTTCTCCACCAGAGTCAGTGGTGCTGTGGTAGTCCTCATCCCTTGAGCATAAAGTCCAAGGATCCTTTGTAGTAATCAATACCTGCTCTATGCTCATCCTTGCTCTCTCCACATTAGACAATTGGAATGATTTGAAATGTTTCATGGTTTTTAGTACTCAGACATTTAAAAAATTGTTTACTCTTCATTTCTTCTGAAACTGCCCCAGAACTGCACTCAGGAGCACAAAGAACCAAAAATACCAGGAACTGGAGCCCAGCAATACCGAACACCCCTGTGACAATTGCAGGTTATTTCAGCCACAGGCCAGTCAGTGCCTCTCAGCAAAAAATACCAGGAACTGGAGCCCAGCAATACCTAACACCTCTGTGACAATTGCAGGTTATTTCAGCCACGGGCCAGTCAGTGCCAGTCAGTGCCTCTCAGCCTGCTAGTTTGCATTCAGTCTATCTCAGAGGTTAGAGTGTGGGCCTTGCCTTCGTCCCAGAAGATACTCTGATAACGTGAAAACAGTGAAATCACTTTGCTTGGTCCCAAAAGTCAGTTTTTGTGCTCAGCCCCAGTATCCTGGTGGGCTGTCTGTCTCTCCAGAAACTTTCAAGGCTGATCAAAGACATTGTTTTAGAGGGAGACCTACCCCTTGCTTACTAGATGAAAGGATGAGATCAATGATTGAAGAGCTTATGTAGGAACCATGAAAGAAGGATTTTCAGGGCTCCTTCAGAGTTTTCAAGGCTCCGTTGAAAAATGGAGCAGAAATGAGAAAGGAATGTAGGAAAGAAGGCCTGTGGAAGCAGAAGCAATGTTTGAAAGCCTAGTGGGGAATGCTTTGTCTAGCTTTATATCCAGCACTGGGAGGAAGAGCCAGGACTGAAAATACAAACTTAAAAAAGAATGGCTGAAGCAACGCTGCCTGAGAAGGGAGGCGGTGGGCAGGCCAACTCAGAGCTGTCAGATGTATGTGTGGGGAGAGAAATCAAAAATACTGCACCAGTTCTGGGAAGGCTGTTCTGTCTTGCCAGGGCAGGTATTACTTGGTGCAAGTGGTCATTAGTCAGACAACCGTGGCTCTTCATCAATAAGGGGCAGGAGGACCAAGACTGCTGTGCTGCAGCATCCCTGCTGGTTGGGACAAATGTAGAGGGGATGAAGAACCGTATATTGGGACATACTGCTGCTGCCATGGGCTAGTAGCATCACCCAGCATGTTTGGTGATGGTTAGCTCATACCATAGGTTTTGAGCAAGGACCTTTCACCACTAAAGCTAGGGCTGACTGTGGGATGGGCTGAAAAGCTGGGCTTTTTTTTTTTGAAGCAGTGTAATAGTCTGCAAATCTAAAAACTGGCTAGCAAGTGCTACAGTAAATGCTGACCAACGGATTACACTACTTCTTTTTTTCCCTCCAAGCCCTCTTCTTCCTCTTGTTAGCTCTCTTTCTAGTGGTTTTTCCTCTTCAAAACAGCCATTACCAAAATTTGCACTAGCAGCTTGGCATCACATCCTTGGATATTTAGAGTTTGACTAAGGACATTGCTGTAGGCTACAAATCTGCAGAACTCAACCTCCATGTTCTGCAGGAGCGAAAACCAGCAACATTAGGAGGCTTGGGGAAGTTTTAATAATACCTCTTAAAGCAAGGGAGCATGAAAGTGCAGTATGTCCCTAATAAGGCCCAAGGAGGGAGGATGAAAATCCTGGTTTATTGAAACTGGAAGGCAGAGTGAGGACTGGTCCGTGGTGTTGACGTTCCTGCTGGTTCTCAAGTGATGGTCATCAGTCCATGTTCGGCTCTGCCTCTCCCGTTCAGGTATACCCCCCGCAAGCGGCACTGGCACTCTGCAGATCTACCTAATCGACATCAACGATAATGCTCCCGAGCTCCTGCCAAAGGAGGCACAGATCTGTGAAAAGCCGAACCTGAATGTCATCAACATAACAGCCGCGGATGCTGACATCGATCCAAACGTGGGGCCCTTTGTCTTCGAGCTGCCAAGTGTGCCATCTGCGGTGAGGAAGAACTGGACCATAACACGGCTGAATGGTAAATGGGGCAGGCAATCCTGAGGACATTTGGACCCCGATTCGCTAATGAGCCCACGTGTGGTTTCAAACTTCCAAACTTTCCTACTTTTTATCTGATTTTTATTTTTTTAAAGCACATTATGGCTGACATTATAGACAAGATAGTTAATCAGAAATGATTTGTATCAGACCTGCAGCATAACTCTAAGAGCCTTGGCACTTGGCTTTTTTTAATGCAGTTCATAATTATGAACAGTTATCAGTAGTGAACAGAGTATAAATCATCCATAATGGCCAAGGGGAAAAAAGCTATTATCAGTCTTCCTTATGTTCCAGTGTAATTGTCATAAGCCACAATCAGGATCAATGTTCATTTCTCTGACCATAATTGCATAAAGGCAGCCTTTTAATTTACCATGGAACCAGGAGGGCTAGGTAAGTGTGAAGATTACCAGTATATGAAGGATTTTTATATTGCAGCCACAAATGGCCCTAATTGCTGTTCTTATTGGTAGTTCCAGCAGAGGATGGAAAATATCATGAGCCATGGGCTGGCTTTGGCTTCAGAGCTGGTCCCTCTCGCTGAGATCTGGCACCCTCTGCCAGGGGTAACGGCTTGTGCCCTTGCAGCTCGGGGGCTCAGTCCCACAGCTCTTGTGTGGGAAGGAACACAAGAAGGATTACATGGCTGAGCAGGTCATCGACGGGCAATGGGCTTTCTGAAAATCCCAAGGTGGGAGGGTGGGCAAGCAGGGAGCCTGCACAGGAGCCATGGGCAGCCCAGACCCAGGGAGCATCATCCATGCTTTAGTAGTTGCATTTCATGCCGTTTTAAATACATGCAAATGGATTTGCAAACAGCGTGAAGGTAGGTTAGTGCAGCAGTGAAAACACATCATTTTGCAAAACGCAGGCAGATTGTTGACCGAATCATTAGGGCAGAAGTCTGAAGCTGCCCAGGTGTGTTGTTGATAGCCCCTTCTCCAGGACTCTGCTCTGGCAGAGGAGCCCTGCCCGTACAAGGCTCTACCAGAGTGTCTGTCATCTGTCTGTCTTGGTCTCTCCAGGCGATTACGCCCAGCTTAGTTTACGAATCATGTACCTGGAAGCGGGTGTGTATGATGTGCCAATCATCGTGACGGACTCAGGAAACCCCCCCTTGTACAACACATCCGTCATCAAAGTGAAGGTGTGCCCGTGCGACGAGAACGGCGACTGCACCACCATCGGGGCGGTGGCTGCAGCAGGGCTGGGCACGGGTGCCATCATCGCCATCCTGATCTGCATCATCATTTTGCTGAGTAAGTACCACAGGGGCTGGCCCTGCTGGGAGACACCGTGTTTCCCATCCTGGTCCCTGTTGTCCCATTTCTATACGGGATATTTTATAAGGGCTGTGCAAGCCCCGTGCAAAGGGCAGAGCAGTGAGCTCGGGGCTGTGGGGGGGTAGTTCGCACATCTGCATTCAAACCTCCCTCACTGCAGTGTCACAAAACGAGCTAGAGCACGCTCTGCCTGTGTCAGACTTTTCTTTCTAAGACTTCCAGTAGCTTTACAAACATCATTACACCTGACAACATCTGTAGGTAGTGAGTGCGATATGATTCTCTACATTTTGCAGGAAAAAGTTGAAAGACTTGTTCAAAATCCTGTGGCAGGCTCCTCTAGAGCTCTCAGGTCCCTGGCTGTCCCTGGCTGGTTGTGGATGTATTGGTTCCCAGTACCAGATGCGCTGGTTATTAGAGTCTGGCTAGTCCCTGGCAGAGCCAATACCTAGCTGCAGTTTTCTGGTTGTTCAGAGGAAAAGAAGAATGGTAGTTATTCCCGTTGCTTGTAAAATGGCAACAGATTGGAGAATGGTGGTGGATTGTGAGTGTTTTTAAAGGAAGGATCCCCAGTTTGTCAGGACAGCTGGAGGGCTGGGAATGCATCGCAGAGAAGGGCTGGCTGTCCGTTTGCTCAAGGCAAAGCCATTGCTTCTGCCCAGCAACGCTGTTAGTCCCAGGCTTTCATGAACATTACCAATAACCATGTGTGCACACACTTAAAAATAAAAATGATATCATTATAACTTCAAGCAGGAGTTGGCACAGTAGGAAGAGATAAAAATGAGTACTGAAATGAACAATGAGGTAAATATTCATCAAGAAACACAGGATGAAACCATGGGACTCCCATTAAAGCTAATGGGAGTTATGGTGCTAAATCACATTTAATATTTACCCCCAATGTATTTAAACAGAGAGCAGACAGAGCGACGTATGCTACAAATGTCACCTAATGTGGATATGACATGGTACATTAAGAGAATGGGTCATCTCTGGGCAAACATCTACCCTCCTGGGCCAACGATGGACATACATTGTTGTATAACTGATGTACCACGTCAGTCTGGAGAACGAGCAAGAAAACTGGGTGTTTGTGGCTGTGCAGTCCCTGCTCCTCACCCAGCCCACCTGAGCCAGCAGAAGCATCCCCGTGCCTAGCCACGATCCCCAGTTTCTGTCCTTCATCGGGTGTGGGGTCCCAGTAGCAAAATGTTTTAGGCCGCTCCTTCCAGCAAGGGCATTTGCTGCGAATGCACCACAGTTGCACACCCAGAAGAAGACGTGGTGTTCGCCAGTCCTGCCACGTTTGGTACACCGGGGCGTGCGGGTGTGCTGCTGCCAGTGAGCTAAAAATTTGCACTGGAAACGACAGAGGTGATTAAACACAGGGCTTCTTTTTGCTCCTCTTGTATAAATCCAGTGCTAAAATGTGATTTAAACAGTTGAAAATCCTATTGACTGAAATTAACTTCAGCTGAAGGACATTTGATTTAAGAGATTCCTCTTTTCATTTTCAGATACATTATCCCATTTTAAATTACGGGTTTTATTACAAAAGCTTATTTTTACATTCATTGTAATTCTAATTGCCTTTTTTTTTATCTTCAAGAGCTGCAAAGCACTGTATCAGTGATGAAAAATGTAACTTGCGATAAGCAGTTTTCCAGTTACATCCTTCCAGTGTTTTGCCTCCTTTCTATCTGTTTTATATCATGACTTCTGAACAATAGCCTGGAAAAAGGCAGATGCGGGACTATTTGTCCATTTTAGAGTCAGCAGGTCAAAGTCTGATGGCTTTAAAAGGAAGAAGCAGCAAGGGGACAGATCTGAGGTTGCTCAGGCGAAGGAAGTTTCTGCCGTTACCTTTGCTCAAAGGGTTTTTCTTCTTCCTGATACCCGATGTGTTAGCTGCACAAACAACACATTTAGAAGAGCAATGCAATAAAAAATTGTGAAGGGCGAAGACAATAGATTTCAAGGAAAACTACATGCAGAGTGAAAATGGGTCTAGCAGCAGTAATAGCACTTCCCATTCTGCAGAGTGAATAAAAGGAAGGAGAGTGCACTACATCGGCTATTGACACTTTGAAGCCCTTTTTTTTTTTTTTTCAAGGTAGCTGTAAAGGCGTTAATGGCACAGTTTTTTCCACAAGTGCATGAAAAAGTAGCATTTAAAAAAAAAAAAAAAAAAAAAGGAAAGAAAAAGATAAACCCTGGTAACCATTATAATATTGTCTTTGTGGACTAGGCAGGTATCTTGTTGTGAGAGACTTAAAAAGGAACGATGAGAAAAGGACTTCAATAGTCTGCTAAATAGCTGAGGTTTTATATTGCAGATAAGAGTTACATTTTCTTTCCTTTTCTTTTTTCTCTCTTGAATAGATCTAGGATAAGCATTAAAGAAATGCTGAACTATCTGAAAACAATTCTGTTAGCTGGCAGGCAGGGATGGCAGCCAATTGGCACACAATGGCAGTAATTAGCTGTCCGGTCCTCTTCTGCTCACTTCACTGAATTCCTGTTGGGTATAAACACTTCAGTGCTGGGAGGAAAAACTCAGATCCTCCTAACCACTTCCCCACACAGTGGGGCTGCAGGCTGGGCTGCCCGCCCGTGTCCCCAGGGTCTGGTCTCTTCTCCATCCTTGCCTTCAGTGAAGCGATGCCTTCACCGATGGGTCTGAGAAGAGACAAAGAGAAAGAAAACCCTGGAAGTATGAGACAGTGGGAAACAGCAGTTGTTCCTTCTCCTTATGCAGCTAAAATATTAGGGAGTTTGGGATCTTGCATCCTGCCTGGGTTCACTCGTGGTGGCTGAATTGTTTTGGCACAGTCAAGGGTTGACCTAAGTGGAACGAACACTTTCGCACGGCCACATGTTCCCACCTCTGCCGTCCATCCATCTCTTCCCTTCTTCTGCAGATTGCCACTGTCACAGCTTTGCGTGTGGCTTGCGAGGAGAACAGAGGGAAAGCAGGCATGGGGAGGTGTACAGCTGCCCAGGCTTAATTGCATTTTTGATGGCATTATTTGCAGCTACTGACTATGAGAAGAAAACTAACATATTAACAGGTTCTTGGAGAAGACAAGGTCCTCTTGGAGACTTAAGTTCCCAGAGTGGCTTCCATGCACTAAGTCACGGGAGCACACAGCTCTGGGACGTGAGCAGCCCTTTGAAGGATGAGGTTGTGGAGCAGGGAGCCAGCGTTCCCTTTGGGTGAAATTGTTTAAGTGGGAGAAAATTTCTCATGATTCAAGAACTGTTCATCTCCCTCTGTTACTGTACTGAGAGAGATTAGCCAGGGCTTGGCACATAAATGCTGATGCCTGAGGAGGTTGGCTGTGTGCTACCAGATTTGCCTTCCCTTGTTCTGCAAAGCAAGCCCTGCTCTCTGAAAGGATTTCAGATGATCTTAGATCTGCTTTGCAAGTTGATGGCCAAATGCTTATGCTAATGTCCTGGCTAATGTGATCTTGGAAGTCTAGAAAGCCTCCCTCACTCACCAAAAAAGAGCATAAGTGAGCTCAAATTGGATTATCTACCCAGTATCACCCACGCTCCCCAAGACAGTTTTCCATGGCATAGTGCAGACAACAGCAAAATGACTGCCGTGGCTAGGGCTCACGACCTGAACGGGCATCGCTGTGGCACGCTGGTGGAACAGCCGCTCCGGCACAGATGCTGGTCGTCTGTACCTGTTTGCTTCTGAGCCCCTCTGCAGCTCTCTTTCCTCCATCTTTATTTTATGCCCCTGAATAAAATAAAGGTGGAAACCTAATCCTGAAAATTCAGGATTTAGATCAAATATTCTCAGTAAACATCAGTTTTCACACTTTCTGTTTGCTTTTCCTTTGATTGTGTGTTTGACTTCTGACAAACATCAGCTCAATCAGCATTCGTGGTGGATCTTAAAGAAATGTTTGTAGTGGAGGCCTGTCACAGTATTTACAGCTCTCACTGATCTCTCCCTTATAAATTAGAACATGCAATAGGACAAAGTTTTATTCCTCTTACAAGCAGCCAGTGAGGTTCTCCATAGCAGAAGAGGGCAGGTGAGGCATTAGGACATGCCACCACGCTCCGACACACGCAGCTTGTCCTTGTGCTGTGGGAGATCCAGGCTCACCCCGCTTCTTCTCCGTTACAGCCATGGTTCTGCTGTTTGTGGTGTGGATGAAACGCCGGGAGAAGGAGCGCCACACCAAGCAGCTCCTGATCGACCCCGAGGACGACGTCAGGGACAATATTCTGAAGTACGACGAAGAAGGAGGTGGAGAGGAAGACCAGGTGAGAAGAGCCCACAGGTTGTGGCCAAGGAGCAGCTGTGTAATCCATTCTCTCATAAAGGCAGAAACTACACGATTTTCACTTGCAAAGGGTTGCGTTTGCCCTTGGTTATGCCCAGGCAGCTTTATTGGCTTCCCCAGTGTGGCTCGGATGTGGGTGAGAGCCAGCTTAGGTCCAGCATGTCACTGGGACACTCTCCTGTGCAAACAGGACCATACAGGGAGACCGGTGCTACATGAATTTTGCTACCTCCTAGGCTAGCTGCCTGGGGAGGTACTATAAATTAGTCTACTGATTCAACTCATCTTCAAGCAGTATTTCTGCCATTTTGGTCATTAAAATTGTGTATTTTGCCATTCCCCATCAGAGATCTTAGTAAAACTGGCTAGTAGCTACTACTCTACCTCCAGACCTGTGGCTGCAGGCACTTGCCTTGGCTTGCTTGAGCCTAGAGCTTCTGTGGGCTTTCCCTGCGTTTACTTAATCATCTCTACTGTGCCTTTAATTTCTTTTAATTTCTGGACATGGTTTGTGAGAAATGTCTGAATACATTTGGAGATTTTCTTTTCGCCACAAAGTGTACAGTGGCAAAGCTTTGCTCGGTGACAGAGCCCTAAGCCACCGTCTGCCTGAATGTGTCAGCTTTTCTGCGGTGGCTTCTTCTTACAGACACGGATGCTGATGTTGCATGAAAACTTCCCTGGCCTGCACTCCTGGGATGTGCTGCCCCTCTGCTACGGATGTATTTATTCAGCTAAAATAGCAAAGTTTGGTTGCTCACGTTTAGGTCACTGGGGTTTTTATTCCTTCCTAACACAAGTAAAGAGCCCATGACACTCTCAAATATGAAGTTCATTCAATTTATGTGGCTGCATCACGTAATGGCTTTATTCTTGCTTGTTTAAATGGACTGCACGGTTCATGGGTCTTTGCAGAGACTACTGTGTTCATGGCTGGTGTCAGTGAGTCCTAAGGTCAGTGGTTGGGGCTGGTGCTTAAGGAGTAGATGAAACCACTGGAGCACGTCCTGCCATGGAGGTCCTGGTGGCATCCGAAGGCGAGTGGGTGAGCCTGGCGGGAGCCACCATGGGGAGCCAAGGCAGGGACTTTGCCCGAAACTTGAGAAGTTCTTACTCAACGGAAAAATCCTTGCAATTAGCATTTCTTTTTTCTTGTCACTGACAAGTTATTTATAAATATTGCTCCTGGAGATTCAATCATCCCCGTCTGAGCACAAGAATAGTTTTACTGGTAGAACAAAGTACTGTTATAAGCATTCAAACTAGCTGAAGTATCTGGATTCAGGCAACTACACTGTAGGCTTAAATATTTTAGAAAGGATTCGTTAAAAATAACAGCAAAGGAAGAGCAGCAAAACACCATTACCTACATGAATACATTTTTTATGAAATATTACCTGGTTCTCATTCCTTGTTAGAAACCTATTCTGTTGGGATTTTTCACAAGGAGAAAGAACATAATTACTTTGAAAGGCCTACATGCATAAATGCAATACACATTTTAATGTTTTTACTTCTGTACAAATGTAATTGCAGTAATATGTCTACCACACTGTGTCTTTACATTGTATTATGTATTTCATCAAAAAGTTATGCACAGATCTATGCACTTACAAACAAAAGCCAAGTTTTTATCCCAAAAATTTAGACACTGGGTAAAATATTCAGAAAGTATTTAAATATTTGGTTCAACTATGTTTCAATATACACTCTTAGGAGGTCAATTTTATGAACTACTCAGAGGTCAGGTTCATCTGCAATTTAGGTGGGGATAAGATTTACCATCGAACTTTGGCTGAAATAGGATTAGAGCCCTTGCCTCATTTGTACGTTGGGTGAGTAGATGATCTGAATGAAAAGCTCTTGGTTTCACTCTGTGCCTTTCCGTTTGTCACAGGATTATGATTTAAGCCAGCTCCAGCAGCCGGAGACCATGGATCACGTGCTGAACAAGACACCTGGAGTCAGAAGGGGGGATGAAAGACCTATTGGTGCTGACCCGCAGTATCCTATAAGACCAGTAATCCCACATCCAGGGGATATTGGTGACTTTATTAATGAGGTGTGTTCCGTAGGGTGTCCTGTGTCACATCCTAAAAGCTTGAGCAGCCAGCTAAAATCGGCTGTGCAACATTTTCCCAGCTGCGTGGACCAAGTGATGCTCCCCACACGAGAAGTGTGATCAAAGCCAGAGGAACAACTGGCATGAGCAAAGGATGCAAGACCTAATAAAGGCACCGAGCCTGTAAAAAGCCAAAGTGCAAACAAAATCCCGAGGTTTCCAACGTGGGTATCACAAATACCTTGCTTTTCAGCATCTGGGCAGTATAACCTGATCCTGCCGTCCCTCGGATTAGTATGAATGTTGCAGTTACTCTCAGTGAAAACGTTGTCTGGACATGGACAAAGGAGTGGGGAATCGGTGGCCAGGCAGCTGCGTGAGTTGCCAAAGGTGTCTTTTGTGCCTCCTGGACTTGTAATTATTTCACTAGTCTGTACCTTCTAAGTAAGCTCTATTTGGTCTAAAGCCTCAAAGAGTTTGCAGGACAGAGAAACCTCTCAGATCAGAGAGGGTTTCTTTATTTTATGTTAGATTACTGCTCCTTTACCTACTTGTACAAATACCTATCCATTTAGTATTTCTTATCTTAGTTTTATTTTTGAGTAATTGAGTGGTTACAAACCGATCAATGCATTATTTCCTCCGAGACAAAAGACACCATCCATTTCCTAAGTCAGAAAAATAAATGTTATAGCAATTTAATTCTGTTATTATACCCATTTCCTGCTGTGCTTTTTCTCATTTTCATCATTAAAATTCCTTCTTCCTTTGTTCCTGCCCATCCTTAATGCACACATTTACACACATCCGTGCACGTGAAGACTTGCCCTTACACACGCTCCAGCCACTATTTGCTGCAGTAAAACCTGCTCCATCTCCCCATGCTGAGACTGGAGTTTCTGAAGGTGTGCATGCAGAACATTTTGCTTTATTGCAGGTCTATTCCACTAGGCTTTTCCTGGCTCTGGGCTGCAGAAAAGCAATTCTTTTTCTTCATATCCCGAGGCCGTTTCCGTGGCTTGCCTACACTGCTGCCCACAATGCACTGGGACGGCAACGCTTCCCAACCCTCTGGCCAGGATTTCACACCCCAAGTCTCTCCCAATTGCAGAATTTTGCTAGGAGTGATTTTTTTTTCTTTACCTAAAGGAATCAAAATGATCAATATTAAAATAATGATTATTGGTAGGAGAGAAAGGCTGCTGTTCATTCTTTCATTGGCCAAGATGGAAATCTTGACAGGCCGCCCCAGAAAGGACATGCTGTCCGGAACGGAAAGTTTTCCAGATCCAGAGCTGGATCCTTGGAAATAACTGCCCTCCTGCTCCATCCAGCTCTTTCAGAGAGGCACTGGGAGTTAGTGGGTTTTCTGCTGGCGTTGCTGCAGGGATCCCAAACGCCCCACCAGTGCAGACCCTTACCTGAACACCCCTCCATAGCCCCATCACCATAAAACCCCACGGTGGGTATTAACGCCGTGTGTTTGCCCCCCGCCAGGGCCTGCGTGCGGCAGACAACGACCCCACGGCCCCCCCCTACGATTCTCTGCTGGTCTTCGACTACGAGGGCAGCGGCTCCACCGCCGGCTCCGTCAGCTCCCTCAACTCCTCCAGCTCCGGGGACCAGGACTACGACTACCTGAACGACTGGGGGCCCAGGTTCAAGAAACTGGCGGACATGTACGGGGGAGGCGAGGAAGATTAAACTGACCTCAAGTTATTTAAAAAAAAAAAAAAAAAAAAAAAAAAAAAAAAGGAAAAAAAAAAACAATTTAGGAAAAAAAAAAAAAACAAACCCACAGATGACAACATTAACAAAAGGAG